CACATACTTTTTAATTTATTTAACGCATGTTTGCTCTCCTTTTTATTCATTCAATTTCAAAGCATACCTTTCCATACCTTTCCTACCTTTCCATTAGTTTCTGTATTTTTAGGTCGTATCCCAACATTCAATACACCGAAGCCTAAGCCAGACTTTTCAATCAAAATCTTAAACAATAAAAAATTTAAATAATAAAAAATTCCTGTAAATCATTAAAAATTATTTCATCGTTTCTAATAAATTTTATTAAAACTTAAGTTTTTTGTTAATATGTAAATATTTGTCATAAAATTAATATTTTAATATAGTACAGTATATAAATTTATTTTTAAGATACTTTAAGGTATACAGACGTATATATTCAATAATTAAAGTAAATAGCAATCATATTATTTGTTTTAATTTTTAACTCAATTGTATAACTATAGGGTGTAAGATATAGTTGTAGGAAAACTGTAATTTTATTTTAATTTTAGTTTATAAATAACATTTAAGCGAATAATTAGCAGTTAATTGGAGTCCATTAGAGATATAAATAATTTTTACAATAAATTATTACTTTCAGACACTTCCAGACATTTAGATATTGATTTTGAAACCAAAAACAAAAGCATTTATTCTTTAAGGAAATATTTAATTATGAATTCATGAGATATATATTGATTTCTATTCTTTATATTCACCGAAGGACCCTGAATATTTCTATATTTATAATTTCTATATAATTAATGTTGTGTTACACCCAGTCTTGACGGACACCACCAAAAGCATACATAAATGGGATTCATTTGAATGGAGAAACTTTTCGCAAGCCTTTCATCTTTTATATTATATTCTGGGAGTCATTGAAGAGTTAATGACTGATTTAATTGAGATAAACCATACAATCGTTTTATTTTACATTTTCAACATTGATATCTTATTTATCAAATACATGAAACAATGAGATATTATTTTAATTCAATATCCTTATTGTTTTAGTTTTTATAAATTGCTAAAAATTCTTGAAATATAATATACAGTATACAGGTGATAAAAGCATTTTTAAATATTGTATAATGTGTAAGGTTAATAAAATAAATGGTATAAAATCTAGTCAAATGTCTACCAGCATTACAAATAATTAATATTTCAACATTTATCTATAAATTGTAGATAAATAAATATGTGCAAATTATACAAATTAAATTGTAGAATACCTATTTTATTAAATAAGTTTTGAGTTTTAAATTACTGTACAGTATATACAAAACATGTATAATACAAATTATAATACAAATATGTTTAATAACAATAATTATTTAGAATTAAAGGTTTGTTTGCTATTTAGAAATACTGTATATAAATATAACAAATTAAAATATAAATTAATTTTAAATAGTTTAAATAAAATTCAATTAAAACTTATTATAAAACTGATAATGTGTTGCTCCCATTATAGAGTGCGCTGTTTTACTTAAACTTTATATTTTCAACACAACTGTATTGATATAAACTTTTGTATTTCCATTGCAAAAGGCAAAGTATTTAACAGTAAATTTAATTTAAAATATAATTAACTTATTTGAATACAAGTATATTAGGTATTTACAAAATATGCATTCCATACATAAATTGTATTGTTAGTTATTTTGATTAATAATTTATACAATAACATAAATTAATCCCACATTTAAGGCAATAATACATTTTAATTTAAATTATTTATGTCAATCCCATTTAATATTATACATGTAAAAGTATACAAAACACACTCTTAACTTGTGAAATGAATTTTTGTAATTGTAAATAAATTCATGTATTGCAATACCTTGATTCTGGTATCGCTATGATCAAACATTTGTTCATTTTTAAATTAAAGTAATTACTAGTTGCATTAACTAAATTATTACTGATATTGTGTTAAATCCCATATAATAACAACAAATTCTTGAGTTACTAATTGAAACTACTAAGCAAAACCCCAATAACACACATAATTATTTTTAAAATCTATTTAAGTATTTAAAATTATATAATATATAACAATACACATACATGAATTTGTAATTATAAAAATATCATTGATTAAGTTATTATATTCAATGTTAACTAAAGAAAAAAGATTAAGTTCATTGATAATCATTTCAATCGTATTATCATTATTACATGATAATTGTATTAACTATTTATTGAACGATACAAATAAAAATATTAATATTAATAAGAAATCATAAAAATGGAATTGTTCATTTAATTTATTGTAATTTTTTTATAAAAATTTACTCTAATTTATAATATATAGATAATATTTCAATATGTCCAATATTTGGTAGTGTGCTAAGACATTATCCACCTTTAAACATACATTCCTTATATAGTTAAACAGTAGTTCCTGACATTAGACTTTATAAAATTAATTAACAATTTGAAGTATAAATTATTAATTTTTTACAGAAATAATTGAAATTAAAAATGTATAAATTCTGTAATAATATTTCGCACACATTTACACACAAAATGAAAAAGTAGTGCTTTTTGGGCGCTTCCGGATATGGATTAGAAATAAAGTATACATATCTGTAAAAATACTAATTTATTCGTTTAATATGATTATAGAATTGCGAGAAAGAGAGAGAGAGAGAGAGAGAGAGAGAGAGAGAGAGCATTGGGGTTAATGCCATGAGCGCCCATTCAGACAACACATACACCAAAACCTATGATTAGAAGTGAATACCAAAAGTGAAAGTTGTTTGTTAGGAAAGGGAGGGAAACGGTAGCAAATGCTGTAACCATTGAGTGATTTAATGAATGGATTAATATATATTGTGCCCATAATTTCAGCACAGGTAGATAATCCACAGAAACTGTAATTGTAAACCGGGTTTTGCATTCAAATTGCAGACAATTTTACAATCAATTAGTTTTAGTGAACAAAACTTTTTCAAAACTTTTTCAAAACAATTCAAATCACGCCTCAAGTGATGAACGGTTTCTCCCTTTCTTGTGGAGAGTTATGAAAACAAATCGGTTTTCATAATAAATATCCGATTATTAGTCTATAATTAAATTGAAATAAATAATACAATTAATAAATAGTAATTTGAGTCAACTTTTGTTGATTTCCGCATTTTTTCATAAATCGCTTTATTTTTCATTCACTATAAAAAGATTAACCAAATTTATACCGGTATTAGTTTTTTCAGTTTAATTAGTTAATCAAATAATATTTTATAAAGATTTGATAATTGCTAGTGTGAGTTATACAGGACATTTTAATAAATTGAGTTCCCATATAAAGTGAACACTGTATTAGAAAATGTATGAAATGCCAGGATAACATATAAATGGTTTACTTATGTTTTGTAAATAACGATTCAAAATACGTGTAATTTTACTTAATATTACGTAATTTTACATTTTAGCGTAATTTATATGGAGATAGAATGGCTAGAAATACTAAATTTTATATACGTTTATTATCCAATTTATCCCGGTCTTTTATGTAAATTCTTGAATAAATTGAGAATATTCTTTCAACAGATCGCGTTTATTAAAAAACTTACAAACAATATTATTTATTTTTCTTGAATTGAATTTTACTGTAATTGAAAGTTACGTTAAATATTTTTGACAGTGTAAATTACTGGTAAAGTTAAGTAATTTTACGCAAAATTACGCTCCACGCAACCTTAGTTGTAATTAATTGTCATAAGGCATCATTCACATATTACGTTCACACTTTTTGAGAAATCTTGACCCCTCCCCCCTTATTTTACGATTTATAAATTTACGATCGCATGCCCTTAACCCCCCATTTCTTTTAACCTTTTGTTTGAAAAAAAACTAAAGCGATAATGGATTGCAATTATTTTATTATTTTTATCCCAATATATTTAATCACAACTTAATTACTTTCTTCATTTAAGGAAATTTCTACTAAACTATTGGTAATATAATACTCACATTACATCAGATTTAGTTCATAGCATTGTTAACTGACATTAAATGTTATCACTTTTAGTATTTCATACAATTTAACAAATAATTAAATTCTTAAGGTTTTTACTATTCAATAACATTTTAATGACTATATTTTTGTTTGTGTATTTGATTTTAACTATATCAACTTAATCATTTATTTTTATATGTTACGGGTCCTTTTTATAATAGATATGAACAAAAAAGTTTTATATATCTATATTCAACTATTTGTAGAAATAAAAAATTAATTTTAATATTTAATATATAAATAATTATTATCCATATAAGTGAACATAAATTATTCCAAACCAAATAAAATATAAATTAACATTTCAAAACTTTTGCCAACTTTCAAAATAACTATTAAAATATATTTCTATTCTAAACAAATAAAAAGATTTTAAATAAAACTAAAAAATTATTTTTTATTAAGCTTTACGTTTTGCATAAAGAATGCATTTTTTATACCAAAACTATTAAGACATTTGAATCAATAGTCAAATATATATAATAAAATATATTATACAATAAAATAATAAAATTATATCAAGTTTTTGGCTTTTTCTCAACGCATAGGATAAGCATTTTTGGTGTCAAACGCTTAGCATATAAGCAATAACTGGATTTGATGGACACGGTTAGCACCTCCCATCCCCCTCTCACTCACTACTGTATAATATAATACATCGCCTGAATTCAAATCAAGAATTAGTTTTTATTATTTATATAATAATTATATTATATATGAATTACAAGGAAGTTATCGCCAGAGAAATAGTTCTCAAATATTATAAATATATGAGAAAAGTGTTATTCAAAGTCAAGTCAAGTCTCTGAGAAATTGTGTTTGGATTCAGTATTTAAAGTGAATGCGAGTCCAGAAAATTGTTTTTAATTTTATGCTTCGATCCCTAAAAAGTTTTTCTATAAATCTGCTAATCGTATAGTTTTTACATTTCATATTGTTTTTTGGTTTTCTATTTGAGACAATATTTTAATTTCATATTCTTTTGTAATCATATTATTCGGCAATTATAATGTTCTCCCAATTAGTGAGTATTAAGTTATTTAACTATTATTTAATCTTTTAATGATTATGTTTCCAACTAATCCTTCATTATTAACATTTAAAAATTCTATGTTATATCTGAGAATATTAAAGTGCATGCTGTGTTTTAAGACTGTATGCAATAATTAATAAAGGAGTATACAGGATTTAAAATTTAAGATAAGATTATAATGTTAAAGTGAAAAGACTAGTCTTTTATATAGTTTGTTATAAATTAGAAATTTAATTATAATATTAGCGGGATTAGTTTATCTAATATAATATTAAAATATAGAATAAAATATTAATTCTAATTAAGATTCTTATAATAAACGTTATTTAATATACAGTACTTTCAAACATGTATAATTTCATCCTATATACTAAAGTAAATTAACTTAATTGTAATTTTATTTTCAGTTTATTATATCATCAATAGCTTTAACAGCTTATTGTCAATACCAAAATGGTCTTGGTAGTACCCTATCCACAACAACACCATCCCCGGGACCACCAGCACAGGTTCACTACGTTAATATTGGCGCTGACTTAGCCGGAGATTACAAGGTATTTGCTCTCTCTCTCTCTCTCTCTCTCTCTCTCTCTCTGCCCAACACTTTCTCACTCACTTTGTGACTCTCTCTAACTCTCTCTCTCTCTCTCTAACCTATTAGACTCACTAACCTAATTAATAATTGGCAATTATATTTAAGCCATAAATTAATTAAAAAATGCATTTGAGAGTCAAAAGACAATAATAAACAAAAAATTGAGAAAAATTTCACTTCTTATCAATTGAAACGAGTTATACAACAGAGGAGCGAGAAATTAAGAGAAAGTATAACATCCAGACCTTATGACCGCACCTCCAGTCATAAAATAAACTCAAAACATATATTTTTTATTATTTTTTCCGATAACCGATATGTTGTTTAGCAATATATAACTTAAAGCAATAAAATTTTGAATTTTTTTATATAAAAAATATTTAATTTATTATTTTCTACATTGACTGTAGAAAGTGATTGTGTCTATCAATATGTGTTGAAACTAATACCTGTAATGTGTTAACTAATACCCCGACTACCTGTGCTCTTGCACTCGATCTCTCTCATAGATAGTAAGCCAAATCACGTGAATACTAAATTGTCTACCAATTAACCCAATACTTCCCTTTCAATACATGAATTGACAGATATTTTAGTTTAAATTCAAAACTAAATTAAATTCATACATGTAATCCTTATTTCCTATGAATAATATAATATTTGTTTGTAATTTAATTTACAAAAAATATTAGTTCAAAAGTTTATGCATTTCTGGAAATATTAATTCATATTATAAGAAATATATTGCAAATCAATCAGTTATATAAAGCCCAGAGGGAAAGGGAAGGGAAGGGTATGACAATTGTCATACAAATAAGCTTACATAAAACAGGATTTATATGGAAATATAGGAAATGTGTGTTTATTGAGACAATTCCGTCAATTTATAAATAAATTACAATTTTATTTATTTAAATGAATTTCATTTGAATACACAGTTTGGTTACGACACCGGAAAGGGTCCTAAAGGCCAGAGCTTTCGAGAGGAGACCCGATCGGCCGACGGCACCGTTAGGGGCGCCTACGGGTACACCGACGCCAACGGACAGCAAAGGATTGTGAAATACTCGGCCGGAAAGGAGGGCTTCAAGATTGAAGACGACTCGCCCGCCCAGGGAGGAGGCAACGCACCCGCACCCACCTCTGCCCCATACCGACCGCCGCAAACCCTTCCCCCACAGATCTACAGACCCCAACCCTCTTCCGCACCCCAGTCCTACAGCAGACCCCAGTCCTCGCCTCAGTCCTACCAGTCGTCTCCCCAGTCCTATCAGTCCCCCTCAGGCAATGGATACCTCGAACTCAACGTAAGGCCTGTACCCCAACAATACAGACCCCCCACGCAAACCCTGCGCCAAGTCCTGTCGAGCCCCTCCCAGTCCGGTGTCTCCTACTCCGGTGGATCCCTGTCCAGCAGTGTGTCGTCACTCCCGCAGTATTCAGGCCTATCCTCGTCATCCCTGTCCAGCAATAGTGGAAGTTCTGGCTCTTCTATATCATACCCCCAAATGCAGCCTCAGCTCCAGCAGTACCGCCCGCCCTCACAGGCCAGACCTCAAGCTCCCGTCGCCTCCTCGCAGCCAATCCTGCGATCATACAGTGGTTTGGCGACCACCTCCCGGCCCGAGGAGGAGACGTGGGGCCCACCCGTAATAAACACGGCTCTACTCAGCTATAATATAGGCAGTCAGGGGTAAACACCATTGACTTCACTATTAATTTTATGCATGTTTTTGTGTCTCACGTATTGTCTCACGTTTTATACATTAACAGATTATTAATTATAACGATTATTGCAATTAAAGTATTTTATTAGATAATATTAGACAAAAAATTGTTATAACTTTATGAGAATTTATATATAACTTATATATGGATATAAAAAATATATTAAGGAAAAGCTTTGATTTTTGTTAACAAAAACCAAAATGAATTTTTCTTATGAATAAAATCAATAATTTTTTTATTGAAATGAATTTTTAAACATTTATTTTTATAACTTAATTCACTATTGGGAGCAAAAAAGCAAACAAACTCTCGCTTTAAGTGTTTTAAACCAAATTTAAACAAAAACAAAAATTATTAAAACGTTTACATAAAAACAAAAATGAGTTTTAAAAATACTTTTGTTATTAATTAAATGGTTGCGGAAATAATTAACATATAATTAATCACATATTAATATCACTGTTAACTAATTGTCTGGTTTATTAGCAACAAAATTTAATGTATTTAAAAATTACTTGTAATTAATATTCATTTTATTTTATTCAAATACTAAATATAGGGGTCAACCGGTATCGCGATTGTCCTACTCATCCAGTTCCTCATCGGAGACGTATGAGGCTCCACCACCACCTCGACCATCACCATCCCGATCCACGAGTTATACTGGACCGGTAGCCCCGGCCTATACTGACTGGAACACCCCTATACTGAGATCCTACTCTAATCTGAGCGGAGGTCCCGCCATACCCCTGAAGGAGGAGAAGTGGGGCCCTCCTGTCATTAATACAGCTTTGCTCAGCTATAACATTGGCAGTCAGCAGGGTTAATTTAGATGTACTCGCGCACATTTGATTAATATCACCTCAATTTTATATACTCCACACCCAGTGTCCAATAGTTACTAATGTTTTATTTTAAGTTTACGCCAATATTCCCTCAAAACTTAAATATTTTTTGAAATATTTTATAAAAAGTCTTGTTATAATTTAGTCGTTTTTATGTTAAAGTTTACTATTTTTTTATTGTTATGCATTTTGTGAATTTGAAAAATAAAATACAAAAATATATTTGTTTGCAAATAAAATGTTTGAGAGCTTCAAGAATTGATTATTTATTTAAACCTATTAATTAATGATAGCTAATCAATATTTAATAAACATGAAAATTACAAGTGATTTTGATACGCCTGAGGTTCTCGTAAAAACTGTAATTTTGTTTAAGAAAAATGTTTTTAACTATTGATCAAAATATTTGTATAGAAAACATCGCTCGAAAGTGATCTGATATGGCAGTCATTATTCAATATGAGATCACCTTTCGATCGATTTTTACATTCAAATTTAAATCAACAACCAGAGTATGATATTTTGTAGATATTTTATATTAATTATAAAAATATGTATTAATTCTTGTTTGCTGATAATTGATTAATTCCTGGATATAATTTATACTTTTATATTGTATTAGAGTTTTGAATTATCAACTTTTGAACGCATTATTAATGATATAATAGTTTTGCAGGTGAGTATATATTTTTATTTGATTAACAAGTTAAAAGTTGTAATTTTGATTTATTTCGTAAACCTTGTTATTTATCTAATATTTACTATTCGATGAGTTTATTTGAATTTCCAATTTTGAACGAATTAGATATCTAAGTATATATTTATTTTAAATTATGTGAAAGATTTCAAGTGTTAATTTGACAACAAATAGAAATATTTACTCAGATTTCTACTGTATAAAAATGAAATGTGATATACAGTAGACACTATTTTATTATTTTCATAAATATTTTAATAGTGGTCAAAATGCTTTACAGAATATATTTAAATTTCCAGCTATTGAATATTATTTTGTTAATACTAGTAGCAGTTAATAATAAATGTGAGTATAAAACAAACTTAATCAGAAATAAATCATATTGCAAATAAATTGAATATAGCATAATTATAATTAAAAATTACAATCTATAGGTAGCACAAATGATCTGGATTCTACCCCAAGTAAGAATCAATATTAATTAATGTAATTTATATAGAATTTTGTTTATTTAAAATATTATCTATACTTAATTACACTCAAATATTTTTAATACTATATTTTACAATAATTAAATATGAATGAAAAATTTTAATTATTATTTAAAGGTAGTCAAGAGTTAACTGAATATTTTAGGGATAATATCAATATCCGGACTAAAAGGCAAAACGTTTACACCAATAATTATGGAGGAGTTGGTCGACCACTATATGGCACAAGTAGTCAACAAACATACGATAGCGTCGATCTAATGAGCCGGATATTTATCTCCCTGTGCAGTACGCGTGAAATGAATTGATTTCTTTGTATTGTATTAAAATGTTTATAATTACTGTTTAGACAAAACGAGTTGCATTTCTCGGTATCAAAGTTATCGCAACTGTTTTGGTCACAGAGAGGAACTCCTGAGTCTAAACAACTGCACCAGAAATTCAAGGGATGACTACCAGTGCGTCGACTGTTGCTTAAAGAGTGCTATCAAAATGGGATACAGAGTCACATCCAGTATATTCAGAACTCAAATGATATGCGCAGGGTACTTTGTTACATCCAGGGAACTTATATGTCTTGAGAACAAAATGTATAGAGTTGGGTCCAGGCTAAATTACCTGCAATATTTAAATACAAATCCTGGAACTAATCGAAACACTGGAAATACAGGTGCTAACCAGAATACAGGTGCTAATTATCAAAATACTGGTAATAACCAAAATTCAAAGTATACTCAAAATGCTAACAATAATAATAATGCTAATCAGAATTCAGGGTACAATCAAAATAGTGTTCCCACAGCTAATCAGAATGCAGGCTTTACTATGAATTATGGCAATACTAATCAGAACCTGGCTAATAACCAGAATTCAAAATATTACACAAATAATAAATATCGAAACCGATATTCTGGTTAAATAATACTGTATACTTTATCATATTAGTGGTGATAAATCTTAATTGTAAATTAAAATAAAAGGTCAATTAAATATCAAACATTACAATTTGTTTATGTCATAATTATTTTTTAATTAAAAAATATTTAATTTGAATTGAATTATTATTAATATCATGTATAAATACAAAATAATTATAAAGGGTTACATAAACAGTGAGATTTATACGAAAATGTACTTTTTGTACCTAAGATTTAGTGCAAAAACTAAAAATATATTTCTATTAATGATATTAATGTACCAATCGATGCATTAAATGCATTGAAGGTTGTATGTATTATACTGTCAGTATAAAATATTATTATATAGTACAGTATTACATAGAATCATAGATGCATTCTAAAGTATGTATGTATAAATATAAATTATATATATATAGTATATATATATATTGTATAACATTCATAGATTGCACCTATGCATTCTACGTAATACTGTATAATTCTTTATATTATATATTGTACTAATGTTCAAAACATAATAGTAAGATAAAATGTAATTTCAGTACAGAATTTATAAAAAGCATAAAATGAGAAATGTTTTCAAATGAGCTTATTGCCTCAATGGAAGAATTTATTTGACTTTCATAATCTATATTGATGCTTTTATAAGTTGTGAATCAATATCATAATTCTTAAATATCTGAACTAACTTTATGTGAAAATAGAAATGATATTTGTGTTCAAATATAATATTTAGTGTATTTATCTGTCAAATAATGGGTATGATATGGGATTCGGTGAAAGAGATAACTGGAAATGTGTTACATTTAAGAACTAAATTTGTAACAAATAAAAGACTTGATGGACAGGTAGTGGTGATCACTGGTGCCAACTCTGGTATCGGCAGAGAAACGGCTCTTCAACTATCATTACTGGGCGCTAAGGTATGTATTTGTCATTCAAAATATTGATTTTAATATTTTAAGTTCATTTTATTTGAATATACGCCAAGCTTATATACTTATAACTAAAGTATTAAATTATAAATATACTTTTAAATAAATTAAATAATTAACCATGTCATTTATACGTTATATATGATTAAACAGGTAATAATGGGTTGTAGGGACCCAAAGAGGGCCGGGAGTGCAGTGGACTATATAAAGGCTAACAACAAGAATGCGGTCTTAAGTGTGATTCAATTGGATTTATCGTCACTCGAATCGGTCCGAGACTTCGCTAAAAAGGTGTCACAAAAGGAGACAAACATTGATATCCTTATAAACAACGCGGGAATCGCAGGAACTCCTGAATCCCAGACGAAAGAGGGCTTTGAAATGCAGTTCGGAACCAATCACTTGGGTATTCATATTGTGACCAATATATCGATATTAATATTAACTGTAATTTATGCCATAATTTTAGGTCACTTTTTACTAACTCTATTACTGTTACCCCTACTGAAGGGCGCCCCCAAAGCCCGAGTAGTGTCGGTGTCATCGGGTTTATATAAGGTCGGCAAAATACATTTCGATAATATAAACCTAAGGGACGGCGCCTACGCTCCTATGAAGGCCTACAATCAGAGCAAATTAGCAAATGTGTTGTTCACTAGAGAGTTGGCCAAACGGTTGGGTCCTAACAGTACAATCAGTGCATATTGTTTGCATCCAGGTGCCATTAAGACAGATATTGTCAAAACTGATAAACTGTATGAGAGATTCCTGGCTAATATAGTGAGTTCCCTACTGTTCCTCACACCACATATGGGCGCTCAGACATCATTGTATTGTGCACTGGAGGACAGCATAGAAAATGAGACGGGATTTTATTATGAGTAATATATCTGTCCAAAGGATACCAAATCAACACATTCGGATATTCATTATAATCTTTTATACTACGTGCTATAGTCATAAAGCTTTAAAATGTTAAACATACTGTATTATTTTGAACATGAAATCATATATTTGTATGACTAAACAAGCAACATTTTAAAGATTTATGACTATAGCACGTAGTATAAAAGATAATAATGAATATCCCAATGTGTTGATTTGGTATCCTTTGGACAGATATAGTTTTTGACTATTTTTGAGGAAAATGTTAATATAATTGATGTTTATTTGGACAGAAACTGCAAGAAAGTTGATTTAAAACCGATTGCAATGGACGACAAAACTGCTGCAAAACTTTGGGAATTAAGCACTGAGTTAGTGAATCTGGAGGAACACCTAAATCTACCGCATGTCAAGCAACAGGCCTGGGAACAGGTTCAGCTATAATCAATACATGTGATCCAATTAAATATTTGCTATGAGTGCAGGTTTTTACTTTTGGATGTGAAAGTCTGCCTACAGTACAGTCTCACTCACAGTAACCGTCGCCATACTTATCTCACTTCTGTACTCACTTTCCGTAACCAATAAATCTGATTAAACCTCAACCGGTGTTGTCATTCATGTGGTCTACAGTTTAGACCTTAAACCCCTCACAACCAGTGTGACCAACCGTCCTCTATCGGAGAGGACAGTCCTCTATATAGGGTGGCTGTCCTCTGGGTTTTAAGAGAAAAATAGTGGACACTGAATGTCCTTTATTTGTAAAAATTATAAAATGCCTTGTTTAGAAAAATAATTGCAGCATAAAACTGATGTAAATTGCATTTCACATTACAATCATAATAAAATACATTATCACTTAACTAAATAATATTTAAGTGCAGCAAATTTATAGGAATATATAAATACATTATATAAAATATATAAATACATAGGATTATATGTATACAGTAAAACAAATGGCAAAACTAGTCAAAAATTTCTGCTGTTAGAGGGATCAACAGAAAAAATATTTTCAAAAATTGTAATTCAATTCCACTATAAAAATGCTGTCCTCTACTTGTACTCTATTTATTCAATTATTTTATCAAAATGTCCACTAATTAAAAAACTTGAGTTGGTCACACTGCTCACAACCTCTAAAATTAGGATTTTTTTAATTTCAAAATAAGTTATTGAAAACAAAGCTTTAATTTAAATTTATTTTGGGTTACAATTCATATAATCTATTATTAAAATAGAAATTCATTCATTTGCATCCGATATAACTAGTATGCCAACTAGTACCCTGGTGTATTATAGACTAGACCTCCGTCTATGAATAGATTGGCGGCTGTTATGAATTGAGCGTCACTTGAGGCCAAAAACACGACCCCTTTGGCCACATCCAGGGGCTGACCGATCTTCTTGAGCGGTGTTCTGGCGATGAGTTCCTTACGGAGAGCGTCGACAATAACCGGAGGCAACGATCCCGTTATGTTCGTCTCAACCAATCCTGGACTTCACCATTGATTACATGACATTAAAAACATTTAAATGTCTTGAAAGTCTAAAACTTATCATTACTTAATGGTATTGATTCTAATCCGTGGCCCCAATTCCAGTGCCAATGCCTTAGTCATCATATCTACACCCGTTTTGGACACTTCGTACGCCATGCTTGTGATGTACTGATCATTAGATAAAAGTTTTATAAATTCAATAAATTATTTGCAAATCATTTCATTAGATTACGGGATGTGTTGACGCGATACTCGATATACTAATGATAGTGCCGTTGGTTTCATCCAAATAAGGGACCGACAGATAGCATAACTCCACATAAGCCCTGAGATTCACTTGAATGGTCTGATCGAAGACTTTCATAAATGCCTTATCTCTGACACCAGCTGTCGGTCCGATACCGGCGTTGTTCACCAATACATCCAATTTGCCAAATGTTTTGATGGTTTCACTCAATAGTCTATTCAAGTCATCACTTTTGGTTACATCCGCCACCACTTCCAACGGCTTTTTAAAGACATTTTATATTTGTTTTAAAACTTAATACAATTATTTTAATGATTATAAAGACCTTTAGTTTATTTGGTGACAATTCTTGACATTCTTCGGCAACTCTTGTAATTTCAGTGGCATTCCTACCGGTGACCACAACACTGGCACCCAATACTGAGAATAGTTTGACAATACCCTCCCCTATGCCAGAACTGGAACCGGTAGTCAACACCACTTTCCCCGTAAAATTACGTGAATTTTGTACATCACTATAGTCTTCGTTACTTAAATCATAATAAATATTGGCTTTAATTAATGATACGTTAAGTAAAACTATGAACAATAATAAATTCATGATTGAATCGCAAATATTTTATAAGTTGTATTAATTATTATGAATTATAAACAAGGCAATAAAAAATACGTTATACCAGAATATAAATTGATTATTTACCTTTATACTGATCTAAAATATGAAGTGCACGTATGGTACATAAGTAGAGATTAAATTTTATATCCAATTGGATTTATGGGAAAATAACATTCAGTAACAATCATGAGATTTTTGCTTGGTGTTATTTTCCACAGATGCTATTTTATTTATTCTCATATAATTCGTTTTATTCATTATATGTCTGACTCTTTATTCTCAATACATTAATATAAGACTAATTATGAAATAACATTTACCTCTAAAATATGAATAATGGCCCAAAATCTGTATTTTACTGATCCCCTGAAAAACATCCTGGGTGGTTGTGCCTCCAATAGGCCTAAGCCCTGCCTGTGCGGGTCGGGAGGGTGCGATCGACAGATCCCGATACTGGTCGCTATTGACCGTATCATTCGGTTGTGTCGACCCATCAATAGACTACTCTATTCAAGTCAATCACCAGAGGCAGTACTGGTAGCTACCTATCAGTACATACATACCGGTGCTCTCCGTAGGCTTTCCTACTACTCACAAAGCAATACTCTGAGCACAGGTTTTGTCGGGATTTTTGATGAGTGACCGGAACACCCCTTCATCTCTACACCACTGGTCACTGATAACACGAAACAGTCCGTTGCCGTCCCGACAGAAAAAGTGAATTTATTTTAAATGTTATAAAAGTTATTAATAATAAATATAAAAAATTAATTCAATAAAACTCTATTATAAATTATATAAACATTTTAAATAATTATAAAACAAGTTACGATAAAATTAATATTTATTTATTGCATCATGATGATTAAGCATTGAATTTATTAAAATATTTATTTAAAGTAATTCTAATGATAGATTTTACCAGTTTAAATACATAATAGCAGTTAAACATGGTACATTACATATTCTCAAACATATCTCCAAAATTATAAGTAACCCCTCCGTCGACCACCAAATTAGCACCGGTTATAAACTGAGCGTCTTTTGAGGCCAGGAATGCCACCGCATTGGCTATATCGAGGGGACGGCCTGTAGTCTGTAGGGGCGCCCGTTTGGCCATTAGGTCTGTAACTTGTTTCATCATTTGGACGGGAATACCAGCATTGGCACCTAAATTACTTTCAGTAGCACCAGGACTGACAGGTTTGTACAAAGTATTAAATATAGAGTATATATTAATATAATAAATATATTACTTGATTGTATTGACTCTAATTCTTGGACCCAATTCTAGTGCCATAACTTTGGTCATCATATCCACACCCGCTTTGGATATATCATAAGCCAGACCTAATTTGGTCTAGGTTAAAAATAAATACGAATATTGTGTAATTTAAAAATTATACTATGTTATAATTAGATTTTATTAAATCAAATATGTTTTGTAAATACTTAATTTAAATTTACTAGGTTAATAAGTTATACTTTAAAATTATCTCAAAGCTTACCGGATGAGTTGCCGCAATACTTGATATACTAATAATAGTGCCATTGGTTTCTTCAAGATAAGGAATGGCTAATTGACTTAACTTGACATAAGCCCTCAGATTAATCCGGATCACATTATCAAAGACTTTCATTAAATTCTGATCCTTAACGCCTGCAAACATGCTGATACCGGCGTTATTCACCAATACATCTAATTTGCCAAATGTTTTAATGGTTTCATTCATTAGATTATTTAAGTCATCATTTTTGGTCACATCCGCCACAACAGCCAACGGCTATAAATAAAATCAATTTATTATAAATTTTAAAATCTATTTCTAAACAAACCTTTAATTTTTTAGGCGATAATTCTTGGACTTCTTGTGCCACTCGTTTCACTTGATCCTCTTTCCTACCGGTGACCACAACTTTGGCACCCAATACAGAGAGTAATTTAACGATACCCTCCCCTATGCCGGAACTGGATCCGGTGACGAGTACTACTTTGCCCGTAAAATCGCGTGAATTCTTTGCCTGTTTGTAGATATCATTGCTTTGCGAATGAGATAAATGTAAATTCAATGACATAACACACAAAACTGTTGAAATTATTATTATATTCATTGTGATTATTTGAAGGAAATTATATAATATATAAATTTTCTACAGAATATCTTAAATAGTTAATTGCAAAAGCGATATACATATTATAATATTTTAAAGTGATTGTTTATATATAAAATATTTTACATTATTTAATAGGTTTTACATAGAATTAAAAATTTTTGAGAGAAATCCTTTCCTACAAAACCGGTAATTTAGGGAATAATAACATGTAATCAATTGAAGGCTATCCACAATTTAGTGCACATCAAGTACACCAACTCTATACCATAAAAACTGTCCCTCGTCACTGATTGTATCCTTTCATTATTGTATACTAAAGTACACAACTAGTGTACGCGGACTTGTTTTGAACTCTTATAGGAACCAGTCTATTATTGTTTTCATTTGTTTAATTTCATAATAATAATTATTATTATTTGTTAAGCAAGTTATTTTGAAATTCTTTGATTGCTCAATGTCAGTACAATTTGATTCAAGAAATATAATTTTATACAATATAATTAACATAGAATATGTTAGTGTGCACTACAGTTAGGAAATACTGTATAATTGAAAAATTTAAAATGTAGTGTTTTAATCATTTTGAACAGGTTAACTATACAAAGTTAGAGTTTATATAATAGTATTCCTCCTCGTTATAGACAACTCGTTCATTGACTACAAAATGAGTTACGCTATCAAATTGGCCCACATTTGGGCGATGATTTGTAGACAACAGTGGTTTTCAGTCCATTGGTTTATTCCTGGTCATTTGCGACTAACCATTTTTGACTCAAATATTGGGATTATATCGGAATCCACACCAGTGTTACCGGTGTTGGTGTTGGTATTTGTTCAATTAAACCAGGACTGATTGGGTAAATGTAATTATGCTAGGTGTCAAAATTAACCTGTTAATTAAAAATAGTAGTTTTATCATATTTAAGACTTTTATACTAAACTATTTTATTATTTCAATACAATTTTATTAATAAATCATAAATTATAATATATTTTTAAAATATAACAAAATACATTATAAAAATTCAAGTTATGAGCGAGTTAAATATAAATATTTATAGTTACAAAATAAGTTAATTTAAAATTAATATTTATTTATTGTATCATGATAATTAAGCATTGAATTTTATAAAATAATCATTTAAAGTAATTATATTGTTAATTTTTTTACTAATTATAGTGCCATTGGTTTCTTCGAGATAAGGAATGGCTAATTGACTTAACTTGACATAAGCTCTCAGATTAGTCCGGATCACTTTATCGAAGACTTTCATTAAGTTATTATCCTTAACGCCGGCAAACATCCCGATACCGGCGTTATTCACCAATACATCTAATTTGCCAAATGTTTTAATGGTTTCATTCATTAGATTATTTAAGTCATAACTTTTGGTCACATCCGCCACAACAGTCAACGGCTATAAATAAAATCAATTTATTATAAATTTTAAAATCAAGTTCTAAACTAACTTTTAATCTTTTAGGCGATAATTCCTGGACTTCTTGTGCCACACGTTTCACTTGATCCTCTTTCCTACCGGTGACCACAACTTTGGCGCCCAATACTGAGAGTAGTTTTACGATACCCTCCCCAATGCCGGAACTGGATCCGGTGACCAGTACTACTTTGCCCGTAAAGTCTCGTGAATTCTTTGTTTGTTTGTAGATATCATTGCTTTGTGAATGAGATAAATGTAAATTGAATACCAAAACACACAAAACTATTGAAATTCTTATGATATTCATTGCGATTATTTGAAATAAATTTTTATACAATATAACATATAAAGCTATAGAATATCCTAGATAGCTAATTGCAAAAGCGATACCCATAATATGTTAAAGTGATTGTTTATATACCAAAACATTTTAATTAATTTAATAGTTTTTACTCATAATTTTAGATTTTTGAGAGAAATCCTTTCCTACAAAACCGGTAATTTAGGGGATAGTGACATGTAATCAATAAAAGTGCACACTTTAGTGCAATGGGAGTACACTGTATCCCATAGAATAAACTGACCCTCGTCACTCAATGTATCTATATTTAATATTTTCTAGTGCACAACTAGTGTACGCGAACTTATTTTGAACTCTTATAGGAATCAGTCTATTATTGTTTTAATTTGTTATGTTGATGTATGTTTTAATTAACCCGGGATTGAGAGGTCAATGGAATTAATGTTAATTTTAAGAGTAACCTTTTATTAAAGATAATATGTCTATCGTATTTAAATTTTTTATCCTAAACTATTTTATTATTTCAATACAATTTTATTAATAATTCACAAATTATAAAACAATTTACAGAAATTAATTATCTATTTTAAAATACAGAAAAGTACAGTATAAAAGCAAGTTATGTTCAAGTTATAAATACTCGGTATATCTGAGCAGGTATTCCCAATAATGTATCAGAAATAATGGTTTAATCATAAACTTTCAATATTCTTTTCTATACAGTTTGAAAGTTAACAAGTTTAATATAAGTGACATCATATATTATACTGTACTAAACATTATACATGAATATTTATTTGCTATTTTTCTGAATTTTAGATTTTTAAGAAATTTTTAAATTATTGTCCACCAAAAGGTAATTTAGGGGATAATAACATGTAATCAATTGCAAGGCTATCCAAGTCCACACTTTGGTGTAAAGATAAGTACATTAACTATATGCCATAGAATATATTATTATTGTAAACTGTCCCTCGTCACTCATTGCCAATAAGTGATTGTAATGTTAAATTTTAATATTTTAAAGTACAAAACTAGGGCTAAGAACTTGTTTTGTACTTTTATACGAATCAATCAATTATAATTTTTATTTGTTTAATTTTATATAATAATAATAAATCTTTTATTGTTATCATAACGCGTTGATACAATTAAATTACAGTTTTTTTATTTACAGGTATATTACAGATTAGTTTTATATGTATGTACTGTTGACCAGTCAGTGAGACAGATATGCTTCATAATGTTCACTAGGTCATCCGGGTTGTGCATGAGGTTTGTGTCGCTATTCGGATGGTAGGGGAAACCGAAGTGCCCGGGCAAAACTACCGGACTCTGTGTAGTGACGACACAATACGACTTGAAGAAAGTTTTTTGATTCTCAGGTGGACTCGAACTCTGAACCTAACCCAGATGTATGCACTCAGTCCATGCACTTAGACTTCTGCGCCACGGAGTCCCCTCATATGAAATATTATTTCTGGTTCAATATATCGGATGATTCCTGACTAATATAGGCTTATCTTTCGCTTCTTACAAGCATTTTTTGCTTACGACTAAATATCAAAATCTTTAGTGTATAAAGTCTATGAGTTTAAGTTAAAAAGATATTAATATT